ACTGGTCCAAGGGCATTTGGGTTATCTTCAGCTTTTGATGATTGTGAATTAAGTTGCTCTAGATATTTACATAAGTTATTGTGTAAATATAATAGGTTTCATTTCATTTGGGTAAATAAGCAGCAGTGGGATTTCTGGGTCATGTGGTACGTGTATGTTTATAAGAAACTGCCACACCAATTTCCAGAAGGTCAGCACCATTGTCATTCCTGCCAACAAAGTATAATAGTTCCCATTCTCCGCTCCTTAATCTATGAACATCCTCGCTTGATGTTGTCAGTATTTGTTAGTTAAGTGATTCTAATAGGTGTGTAGTTATATATCATTATGGTTTTAATTTGGATTTCCCTCATTGCAAATGATGTTAAATACCTTTATTTGTACTTACTTGTCATCTGTAGATCCTCTTGGGTGAAGTGTTTGATCAAGTCCTTTGCCCATTTATTAATTTTGCTGGGTTTTAAGAGTTGTTTATAAATTCTGTCAGATATGTGATTTGCAAATATTTTTCCAGTCTGTAGTTTATCTTTTTATTTAACAGTCTGTCTTATGGAGCAAAAGTTTTACTTTTTCATGAAAAAGTGCAGTTTATCAAATTTTTCTTTTATGATTTTGCTGTTGATGTCATGTCTAAGAACTCTTTGCCTAAACTCAGGCCATAAAGATTTTCTTCCACTTTATTTTTCCAGAAGTGTTATCGTTATATGTCTTACATTTAAATTTGTGCTCCATTTTGAGTTAATTTTTGTATATGATACTAGTGGCCTGGTGCACGAAATTCATGCACAGGGAGGTGTCCCTCAGCCTGGCCTGCACCCTCTCCAAGCTGGGACCCCTTGGGGGATGTCCAACTGCTGGTTTAGGCCTGATCCCACAGGCCTAAACCAGCAGTTGGACATCCCTCTAGCAATCTGGGACTGCTGCCTAACTGCTCACCTGTCTGCCTGCCTGATTGCCCCTTACCACTCTGCCTGCTGGCCTGATCACCCCTAACTGCCTCTGCCTCAGCCCCCGGGGCTTCATCTGGAAGGACATCTGGAATGACGTCTGGAA